AAATTCGTTGTACCTGATACTCCTTTAAGGTGAGGAAGAATAGAGTGAGGAAACACAAGCAAACCACGCTTTGAGCTCCTTGATGAAGGATGCGCCTGCTAAATGATGGAACAAATGTGTCGACAGCTACCAGAACCTAGAGGGAATAGCTGCTTTTTTCAGTATCAAAACAGAATACGCAAGGGATTTACCATTTTTGAAACTGCAATCAGTATTGAAAATATGATTTGATTCACAAAGAAATCGCCACTTATGGTATTTGAGTTCAGATCAGTTGCATAGCCACAAACGGAAGCAATAAACCACATTGTCCATAGCGTATACAAACGACGATGCAGGTTACCAGTGTGCAGCAACTCGCAAAGTGACTGTAAAAATTACTTCTTCGAAAGAATTCTGTTTCCGAAAATCTTACAGTACCTTGTTATGTTCGATCTTTTTGTGTATCACAGGCTTATATTCAACTCGAGCGAATCTTGCGATGTATCTTTCAGCAGCTCGCATCTCCTCCAGTCGACCCTCAAATGAGCAATTAATTATCCCATACAATATGTAATCTTTTGTTGAATAACCTTATTATGAAGCCATGTTGGGCTTTCTGGGAAAACGAATACAATTATTAGAAGTGCTGGAAGTGCGGTAAGTGCGCATGCGATGCTTGCTGCTCTCCATTCAGGAAAAATCATGCACAATAGAGTCACCATCAATCGGGCCACTCCCTTCAATGAAAATTTTCGAAAAATATATAAAAAGATAGAATCCCTACCCAATTGAAGAAAGCTCTTAGAGCCATTCTTTGATGGGGCAAAAGCATCTCCATGACAAAGGTGCAAACAACAACCAGCGTTCCTCCAACGGATAAGCCGAGGAAAAATCTGATTGCCATGAGAATTTGCCATGTTGGGGCCAATCCTAAACAATCATAATCAACCGTATCTATTCTTCAGTTGTGGACAAACACATGGAACCTCTCAATGACTCAGGTTGAATTGTGGATTATTGAATGGCATAGAAAGTTCCACAAAACACTCTAAAAACCCTTCACTCAATTTTTAGCAAATTTATGACGTTTTCTTCTATCGCAGACGCTTTGGAACACATAATCGAGGTTCACCTGAATTAGCCTGAGGCCCAAGACAGAGTTCACGCGATTTCATCGTCGCGA